GACCAATAGGGAGTTTTGACATGATGCAACGCTCAAGGAATGACAGCAGTCCTACGATCACACATACTGCCGGTCAACATACCATGATGGGCTTTGATTGCGAAGTTGCTCGCTCTCCTTGCACCAAACACAACAAACTCACTCACGAGGTTTCATCAGCATGCAGATCCTTGCCGATGGCTTTAGCGTGCACGTGATCGCCGCCAGTTGAACGAAGATGAAGAAGGGATTCTCAATTGGAGCCTCTGACATCTTGTTATGCCGAGGCGTCCCGAGCGCTGGTTCTCATTGGCGGGCATTTGGGGTGCCACGCGGAGATCTGCCAGGCGGCGACAACGCGCCAGGGCAGGGAGCCCCTGCCGGTTTCTGTGCCGCGCCGCGCGCCTCAATCGATGACATCACCATTCGTCATGCCGCAGGCAGCTCGCCGCCGCGCGCCCCGACCGCTGCGCAATCGCTGCGGCCTTTGCAGATGCGGGGCTCGTCAGCCGGCAATCCCATGGCGAGCTCGGCAGCTCGCCCGCCGCCGCGACCGCCGCACCGCTGATCCGCCGGCCGTGCCCCGCCCATCCCTCCTCCTCGCCGCCCGCGCCGCGCTGCGCCCGCATCTGCGCCAAGCAGCCGTCCAGAGCCGCGGTCGGCAGCACGGTCGTCCCCGCGACGGGCTGCGGCAGGCGGCCGCGGTCGCGCAACGCTGCCACCTGAAGCGTCGACATTGTCGGCACTGCGCCCGGCGCGTTGAGCATCTCTGCTCCTTGCGCGCGCGGCGCGCGGACCGTCGCGCCGGGGGCACGCGATGTCAGGGTTGCGAGCTGCGGCGTTGCGGGGCTGTAGTTGATGCCGCCGTCGGCGGCGGTGCGGTAAGGTGGGTAGGGGTAGCTGGCCTTGGGGGCCTCTCTGCTGCTGCTGCTCAGGCCTCCGCCATAGGTGTGGCCATGCTGCTGCTGCTGCTGCTGCTGCTGCTGCTGCTGCTGCTGCTGCTGCTGCTGCTGCTGCTGCTGCTGCTGGTGATGAGGGTAGTTGGCAATGGGGCTCGCGCTGGGCTTGCCATTATCGCCAGCTGCCCAGGCGGCGGGGTCGCCGCAATCCCGGCCCAACGCATGAACCCCTGCTGGGCCCCAGGCCCCGCCACCGCTGCCACTGCAGGCTGCGCTGCCCATGCTGTCCGGCCGGCTGCCCACGCAAGGCGGCGTGTATGGCGCCGCCTCGCCCTGCACCCCAGTCAAACCTCCGCTTGACCGCCGCAGCCCGCTGGAACGGCCGTTCCCGAGGAAAAGAGACTCTGAAAAGTTGTCCAGGGAATCACCTCCTTCCTCGCTCTCCCGCACAGTTCCTTCAAAAGCTGCAGAGTAGCTTCCAGGGCCCAGAATGGTGCCCCAAGGCGCCCCGCTCGCGCCCAGGCGCGGCTTTTGCCCTGCAGCGCCCCCAGGGCCGGCGCCGCCGCAGCCGCCCGAAGGGTAGTTCAGCCAGTTGCTCCGAGGGAAAGCGTGCGCCGCAGCAGCCGCCGTCGAACGCGCGCCCGCGCCGGCGACCGCGACGGCACCAGCCGCCGCGTCCAGCGCCCCGGGCGCAACTGCCAGCTCGTCCGTCAGCGGCCGCTGCGTCACCGACGCCCAGTGTCGCGCGCCGCCGCTGCCCCCGTCACGGCGGCGCCCCTGCGGCCCCATGCTCTGCCCTTGTGCATCTTCCCCTTCCTGGCGCCGCTGCTGCGCATTGAGCGTGCGCTGCGTCTTCTGCGCGGTCTGCTGCTGTGCTGGGCAGTCAAAGTACTTGTCGAACACCACAAAATTGTTGTTCTGGGGCACATACAACGACAAGCCTACGGTGGTGGTGATCAGGGCGCAGAGGTAGGTTTGGATCTAGAGATTCGTCACTGGGAGATTGAGCAGTGAGCAGCGCGGCACAGGGTCGGGCGGCAAGTGCAGTGCCAGCTCACGGGCCGCGCGCCCTTGGCGCCAGCTGCCGCACCATAGTGGCGCGCCAGAAACGCCAGCAGCTTGCGGCTGGGGCGGTCGTACGCCAGCTGCTCCGGGCGCAGCCCCTCGGAGGCCAGCAAGCACTGCAGGGGGAAGAAAAGCACGGCTGATGCTCAGAGCTGCGGTTCTGGGGTGTCTCTCCACCCCATCCAGTGCACCAACAGCAAGTGCCTCCTCTGCTTCCCTTGCTCCTCCACAAACGACGCCACACCTGCCGCCATCACCGCTCGCATCCACAGCACCGAGTCCCGTCCACGCTGTTACCATCCACGTCAGCAGCGGCTGGCAACCCGCCAGCCTGTCATGCAACTGCCAGGCAGCTGGTTCTCCTTTCCAAACCCTCCGACTTTCCAGCCCCTGGCTTGCGTCCCAACCCCGATTCCCGCGCCCTGCCACGCCTGCGCACCTCTAACAACTCCTTGCCCACCCCCGAGCGCTGGCAGCTCTCATGGACATAAAAATCCAGCACGCATAGCGGCGCCATCTCGACAAGGGCGCCGCCCTCCTGCGAAGTTTCGCCGCGGGCAGGGCAAGCAGGCGCCGCCAGGGAACAACAGGAGGCACATGTTGATACAGCCACCTGCCTTGAGCTCTCCCACCGCCAGCTTTGTGACTTTTGGCTGCAAGCTGCTGCAGGCACCAAACTCTGCGGGCATGTGCGCTGCCCAGCCAGCTGCCTTGCCCTGCTGCGTCCGTCCAGCGGCCAGCTCGCAGCTCAACTCACCCGCCGAATGAAGAGCCGCTTGACCCCGACCTTCAAGCCGCCCACCAGCACATTACTTCCCGGGCGCGGCACGCACAGCAGCAGCGCCTGGCCGCTTGTGACGAGCCGCTCGATGTCGGTTATGGGCACTGGCAGTGACTGTGAGAGACCGGGTTTGGGGCGGGCGCGTGCTCGACTGAGTCGTGTTTGCACTTCTCAGCTCGCGTCAAGCGTGATGTTCGTGTTTGATATTGGCGATGCACAGCGCTGCAGAGCAAGTCCCGCCGATTTCAATCGCGCGACGCAAGTGGCAAGCTCCGCCACACCTGTGCTTTTGCCGACAGGACGCCGAATCGCTCGACCACCAGGCGCAGCTGGTGGTAGTGCAGAGTGCTCAGGTTGCCTGGCAGTGTGACGCACAGAAGTCGCGTGCATCAGGGCGCCCGCGCGGCAAGTGGCGCGCGGCGCATTGACAAGCTGCGCTTGCCATCACTTGTTTGCGCAATCGTCTGGAGGCCGCGAGCCGCGGAGCAGTGACAAAGCAGAGAGTTGTGGCCAGGGACACCACAAGTGAGCGCAAACAGGCAGCAATCGCAGCACTTCATCAATCATCGGCTGCTCACGCATATCGCTTGCTGTCCAGCAGCAGATGCAGGCTTCGCCCTGCATGTGCAGCCAATCGGCCCCGACCCGACAGTGGTCAGTCGCGGTCAACCAGCGCGAGTCTTCAAGAGTGTACAGTCATGTGGCCACCGTGGGACGCCAGCCTTACAGGCTTCAATGGTCGCCGCTTGTGTCAAGACTTGCACCCCCTCCTCTCCCCTCAACAATGCCAGCTGGTGCAGCACCTCGCTTGCGCTGCTTGCGCCGCCACTGCTGCCGTCGCCCCGCACCTGGGCGCTGGGGGTCTTTACCTGGCTCGCCGGCCATGGTATCGCGAACTCAAACTCCATGCCTCCGCTCCCGCAATTGTGTTGGGAAAAACTGCCCCCCGCTCTGCGAGCTCGATAGCAACTGCTGCAAGCTCGCTGTTGCACCTGAAAGGTCTTTTGTCATCACCCAATCAGTTTTAATTCCATGTAAAGCTCATGGGAGTATTGACTTGGCACCACCCACTCGTATCCTGTGCTGTATGTCATGGAACGGCGCGACGGGCATCACCCACAGTGGTGATACTTGAAAGCTTCTATCTATCAGTTTATACGAGCCTGAAATTCAGCGAAATGATTGATCTGCATGAAGCTGCTGCCGTGGGCCTGGCTGTATTCGTAAGTAATTTGAGATAATTGCTTATCATTGCCGTCGGGGCAAGCCTGACCGCTAGCTGCTGTCCAGGTCATCGACGGGTGTCTCACCCTCACCTCGCACACCCGACCCGGCTTCTGCAGAGCCTGGCCACCATCCTCCTGTGGACCACGAATCGATGGAAGCTGCGTCGCATCCCAGGTGAGAAGCCGGTTCCTAGCACGCATGCGGCGTTGCCACCCGTTGTCCAGTTATGTGCACCGCTGCTCGCTGCCGCCCCGTGCTGTCCAAGCGAGCAGCTCCCTACACACATTTGCATCGCTCGCAGGGCCATTTGCCCCGCCATTTATCGGCAACCTCCCTGCCGTGCTAAAGTACGGTGAGTGGAGCGGCAGGCCCAGCGTGACGAGGGGGTGACGCACCTGTGACCAACGCGTAGTTCAGGAGGACAGCAACAGACGCAGACAGTAGGCTGGACAGGCGCTATGCGCATAGGGTTGCAGGCTTTGTGAACTCGCCATATGAGCCTTGACTGTGGCCACAAAGAGAGGTCACGGGGTGCTGGGGTGCTGCAGTTGGCAGCAGAGAGTCCGAGCTGCCCTCTCGCGTCAAGGCCAGCCCTCGCTCCTGCAGCTGTGCGCGCCGCCGGACACGTCCTGCCTCTTTTGATTCACCCTGATCTGACATCCTGCCTCACGACTTCATCCCCAACCCATCAGGCTTCCATGAGTACCTGGACATGTGCCGTCGGCAGTACGGCCGCGTGTTCAAGGTACGGGCGCGCCCAACGGCCCGGCAGCGAGCCGCACATCGGCAGCCTTTGGCGTGCTTGCTTTTTCAGGCGGTCGTTCGCCGCGTACGCATCTGTTCAGCACGCAGCAGAACCATTTCGTCACACACTTTGGCAAAAGTGCGTGGCGGTCTGCAACACCAATACCACCGCGCGCAGCCCGAACGCCTCTGCACGCGTGTTCTCCACCCTCCCTGCTACCCCTCAAATTTGCTACCTGCAGATCTACCTCGGCAGCGGCGCCTTCATTGTCGTCGCTGACCCCCATCTCGCCCGCAAGGTGTGTCAAGTGTCAGGGGTGATCGTACCTGACCCATTGCAAGCGCCTCTTTGCAGACTCCCTCCCCTGCGCCGTTGTGCCAGCAGTCACAAAGACCGCTTCATGCAGCACACCGGGTGGGCTTCCCTGCGGCCATCAACAACCCGGATCCAATTTTCAACTCCTCTCGCACCACCCTCTCCATCCTTTCAACCACATCGCGTCCCCTGACACATCCTGCCCCTTGGCCCCTGTGGCCCACCCAACACCCCCTCCCTTGCCTGCAGGTCAACTATCGGCTTATTGACCGCTCCATCGGCAGCCAGCTGTCAGCCGACAAGAAGGGCAGCGACAATGACGGCCTCCTCGGCCTCGCCGCAGCCAAGTGAGCTGCCCCGTCCACCGTTTGAGCATCAGCATTCCTGCACGGCCCTTGCGCACCCCTTGTGCGCTCTGCATCCTTGTTGTCACCAGTGCTGCGGCAAAAGAGTCAGCGCTTTGGTTTTTTGGTTTGAACCCGTTCCAACCCTCATTGAGCTGCGGCACTGACCGGCCCTTCACTTGCCGCAGGGGCGAGGAGTGGCGCCAGCTCCGCATGGCGTGGCAGCCTGCGTTTGCGTCTGGCTCCCTGGCCCACTACTCCAGCCTCATGGACTCGTGCGCGGTGCGGCTGTGCGACACGCTGGAGGGGGCGGCCAAGGAGGGGCGCGAGGTGGACATCTTCCGCGCCCTGGGCACCATGACCATGGGGGTGAGCACACTGAGAAGGGCCGCAGCGGCGGCGCGCGCGCCCAGCCGCGCACTGCGTGCTGCTGTGTCTGTTGAGACGTGTGCGCTGGCAAACGGCTCCTAGTTGGTTGCCGCCCAAGGGCGCCCCCGCATCTGCATAAGATGCAATCCACAAACCTCCTTGGCAAGGTGCGGCCTCTCCCCCGTTTGTCAAACGCGCACCACCCCACACCTCGCTTCCCGCAGGTGGTGGGCACCACTGCCTTTGGCATCGACTTCCACACACTGGACGACCCCGACTCGCCCTCTGCGGAAGAGGGGCTCCGCCTGGTGCGCACGCCAAAGCCGCGCAGCCGCACCTCAAAACGCCACCTGGGGAAGGCGTCCACGTGATGCAGCCCCACGCGCCCGAATCACACCTGCTGCCTCACGCCACGCATTGCATACTGGGAGCGCTGCAGGTCATCTCTCTGTAGGCACCGGCCTGCGCCCGCTGCTGCCCGCAGGCGTGTGATCCCTTCATAGTCACGCTTCAGTCACAACCTGCGCGCGCACACATGACTGCCCCCCCCCCTTCTTCAAACCCCCAGGTGAAGGCCAGCCAGACCGTGTTCTCATCCTCATCGCTGGTGGCCGGCACCTTCTACCAGCCGCTGCTGCTGATGTTCCCCAAGGCCGTGCCGTTTGTGCAGTGGCTGGCAAGCACCCTGCCAGACAGGAAGCTGGTGCAGCTGTCTGAGGTGGGTGGTTGCTTGCGTGTGCATGGCCATGCAGGCTAATGAGTGCATGCGCGCGTACACGCGCACATGCGCGCCCACGCCTGCGCATTCGCACGTCGCATGCCGTTGCACAATGCGCCGGCTATCTGCCCTTCATGCATGGCTCCGTTGCCAGCGCGTCCCATAATCTCAACCCCGCTTCGTTATACATCAACGGCATCATCGCAGCAGCCTGCACCCTCTGCGCGCTCCCACCCCTCATCCTGCAGGCTCGCAAGATTATCCGCAACGTCGGCTACAGCCTCATCCAGAATTGGCGCTCCGCCCACCCTGACCAGGCTGCGACCGGCGCCGACAAGGCTGCGCCGCCAGCCGTGGCCAAGGTGGAAGCCACGCTCGAGGAGCTCCAGGGGGAGGCCCCCGGCCTGCTGGTGCAGGCGGCCACGCACGCGGGCGCCCCCGAGGCTGCCGCTGATGCCAACGGATTTGTCAACGGCGTCGGCGCGGTCGAGGCCGCCAACGGGGACGACGCCACGTCAGCGGCACGCGACCAAGACGGCGCCGCGGCTGCGGCTGCGCAGCCGCAGGACAAGCCGCGGCCGCGGGGGGCAACGGATGTGGAGCCAGGCAGCTTCCTGGGGCTGCTGCTGCGCGCGCGGGACCGGGCAAGCGGGGCGGCCAAGTTCTCAGACGCATCCATCACCGCACAGGCCTCCACCTTCATCCTGGCCGGCTACGAGGTTGGCTGGACCGCTACGAGGGGTACCCTTACAACTTGATTGCAGCGTGCCCGCTTACGTCCCCTGACGGCCCTGGTTTGCATGCAGCCACCACAGGATCGCCCGCCGTTTGGTTGTGACTGTTACTGTGCCAACTGGGACTAATGCAATTGTCGTGATACATGTCTCAACACCCACTGCTGCTTATGCCCCACCCCCTCCCTCCCCCTCAGACCACGGCCAACGCGCTGTCCTATGCGGTGTACAACATCGCCCTCAGCCCCCGCGTCCAGGTGCGCGGCACGCCCGGCACCCCTGTTGTTTCATGACATCCATGCGCCGCAGCAGCATTTGGGACGGACTGCGGACTTCCCGTGCCTCCTGCGCGGCGGCCTTGTCCGCATCTTTGCTGCCAGGCCATGCTGCACAGGGCCGCATTGAGTATGGCTTAAATACAGCACCCGCCCCTGCCTATAAGACCGTCCCTCCTTCCCACCCTTCAGGAGCGGCTCCATGCGGAGATCGACGCCTTTGGGCGCACCCGCCAGGCGAGCACGTGTGCGGCCGAAGGGCCACGAACGCACCCCGCGCCGGTGCTTTTGACGCCTGCTGCCACCTGCGGGCTCACCCTGGGTATTCAATTGCGCCCTGACTGAGGGGGTGCATCGTGAGTTGGTGCCTCGGGAGCCGGGCTGCTGGTATCTGTACGCCCGCCGCCCAGCCACTAGCGATCGACCGGCCACACACCAGCAACCCTCATGTCCTTTCGCCTGGCAATCCCCTCTCTTTCCCCCCAAATCCACCAGGTTACGCACGCGGACCTGGGGGAGTTTCCCTATGCAGAGGCGGTGGTCAAGGAGGCCCTGCGCCTGTGTGAGTGACTGGCCCCCCTTGGGGGGGCGTGATGATGCGCTTGCTTGAGCAGCCGCCGCCTTGGCCCCTTTGGCCCGCAATGCAGAAGCATCCATTTGACACCCGCGCTCCTTGGCACGGGTCCTTCAAAGTCATTGTTGAGACGCCTCTGAGGGGCAGCTCTGAGCTGGCGCACTTCCGCCCATGCCTCTCCTTTGTTCAATCCCAGACCCCCCGGCCACCCTCACGAGCCGCGTGGTGACCAAGCAGGAGGGCATGACCCTCATCCCGGGCGTCACCCTCAAGAAGGTGCGCGCTGCAGCTGCCTCACATACACCTTGCTGCCCTACAAATTGCCCCTGCCCTGCAACTGCGGAGGCCCTGTGCGGATGGCGGCTCATACGCCTGAGCCGGGGCAGCGCACATGCCGGCCTTGCACTTTTCTGCGTCACAGCGTTTGCCATCCCCAGCAACGGGCATGCTTTGCATCGACACCTGCCATCCGTACGGGCGCACGCACCCCCCTCGATCTGAACTCAGCGTCACCTTGAACATATCCTGTCCAACGCGCTGGCCGTCCCTGCTCTAGTCTGTGCCCAACTCGAGCCCACCGCCCTCACAACCCAATCCACTCCTCATCCTCACGCGTCCGCCCCAGGGCGCCAACCTCTTCACCGCGCCCTACTGCTATCAGAGGGACGAGGCCTACTGGCCCCGCCCCCTGGAGTTTGCCCCCGAGCGCTTCCTGCCAGAGGGCTCCGCGCTGGCCCCCTCCACCGACGACGCGTGGACGCCGTTTGGCGCCGGGCCGCGCATGTGCATTGGGTGGAGGTTTGCGCTGAATGAGGCCAAGATTGCGCTGGTGCGGCTGCACCAGCGCTTCAGCTTCGAGCTGCGGCCCGGGCAGGTGGGCGGGCGGGGATCGCGCTCGTTTGCGTGGTAGGCACCGCGTCGCCTGTCCTCTGCTCCATGTGTACAGCAGCACCATACTTGCTGCGGTGTGCCTTGTATGGGCGTACCTTGTTACAGCGTCTGCTGGCATGCTCGATGTACGCCACGATTTTCGGGATGCTTCTTGCTGCCTATGCTTGCATGCTGTGGCTTGCCGCCGTGCACAACCCAACCCATTGCCCCCGCAGGTGCCTCTCAAGCTGCGCCAGGGCATCACCCTCTCGCCGGCCGACGGCGTTTGGGTGCGCCCCATCGCCCGCGGCCGCGGGGTCGAGCCGGTCAGCGTGCCACCGGCGGCAGCCGCGTGAGCTGCGGAAGCAATCCCCCAAAATACAAAGGCTTTCCTTTCCAGCCTGCTTTTGTGTAGCACAGCCAGGGCTAGCAAAGATCTGAGGACCTGGTGCAATGCCAGGCACCAAGATATGTGTGTGATTTTGTGGCAGCAGCGTGTCCATGTATGTTGCAGACAATCTCAAGCAGTTCACCAGGGCTAGGCAGGGCTCAGGATTTGTTGCCGGCTGCGGCGCGGCTCGGCCTTGCTGCATGCGCCACGTTTCGGCGGCTGGCACGCCAGGTCTCTGCATTTGTTATTGGGTTGCCGCCACATGCAAATGTCGCGGGCCTCAAGAGGGCCCCGCAGCACTGATAATTGGTTCTCTCACGCCCTTGTTGTCTAGTGCCTGTATGGGCACTGTTTGTTCTTCAGCAGGAATGGCGGGCCTGTGCTTGAGGGCATGAACTTGGGGGGCGCGTACTTTTGATAAGGAGGGGCCGTCGGCTGAGGTGCGCTTTTGAGTTGATGTTGGGCCACATTCACAACCGTTGGCAGAATGAGCTGCCACTTTAGCCACCACGCTCTCAAAGCCTACTACGTTTGAGCGCAGCGCACGCCCGCGTCGCAGACGGCTGGGACTCTTGGACGCACAGATGACATTTACGTTTATGAGACAGGTGGTGGTGGTCAAAGCCATCAGGAAGCTTCCTTAGATTGTTGCAACCGCTCAGCTCAGTGTGCTGAGCTGTCTGCAGGTTGCCTGCACCGCAATCATTTCAATGTCCTTGCACCTGTGTAATGTTGAACATCCAAGTCTGTTGAGTCCTGATGTGTCAAGCAGCTCGCACTACATCATAAGGTGATCTTGGCCTGCAGTGTCAATTACATTACTCGACATTACATTACGTCATGCTTTGCCAGGAGTGTTGGTTGCAAGGACAAATACGAAATGTAGTGCCCCTGATCACGGGCAGTGTGGCCACTACTGTGCGGGCGCCTGGTCAGGTTATGTTCATGTCATCTCGCCAGCAGTCAATGCTGCATCCGCTGGCTTCGCTTCGGTGCTTGACCCGCTAACCACTGCCTGCACCGGGCGTGCACACATCTGCATGTGCTGTGTTGCTAAGCCATCAGCAACTCCTGTCATGACCACAGTTCCATCGGAAGTGCGGCCTGCTTGTAGGGGTTGCGTGCGAGGTCTGTGGTCCCCCATCCCGTCAGATACAGCTGCTGCAAATAATGCACCTTGAAAGCACGGCCGTAGGAAGGGCACCAGCGTTGGATGGTTTGCAAATCAAGGTATGTCAGCTTCCGCACGCTACACAGTGTGTGGCCTGTGAGCAGGCACCAGTGCTGGCGGCAAGTCCAAATCCCTTTATTGTTTCACAACACTGAAACCCAAGTATGGTGGATATGTGTTGCACCAGCATAGATTCTGTCACACCACCTTCCCGCATACTGCTCGTTGTTGCGGGACGCACCTGTGTCCTGGCATGTTGCGCATTCAAATGCGAGCCAAGCCTTGTAATGGCGTATTATGTGCCTCACAAGCTGGCGTGTCTCTCGCCCACGTTCCTTTGGCGTAAAAGAAGGGCGTTGCGTGCATCGCGCAAGTCGGATTCGTCAGCAACATTGACTCATTATTGACTACGATACACCTGTGCGGTAGCTGCTGGTAACAAGCCCTGCGTGTCGCGGGTACACTAGAATTGAGAATTCACAGCTTCAATATTAGAGTGCTCCCATTCATAAACACACGCTCGCCTCGTTGCAGCCAGCTGCGCGTGATTCAATGATGAGTCTTGATCTGTACGCAGCCGCTGCCGTCAGCCTAACTGTATTCGTAAGTGGAACAAAACCAACATCTCATTTGATTGGGGCAGTTGGGGCGAGATTGCGCGATCGCTGAGGGGTCCCGTGCTGTCCAGGGATGTCGGACGTGGTGTCCCAGCTTCGTCACTCCGCATCCGGCTTCCTTTCTGCAGAGCCTGGCCACGGTTCTCCTGTGGACAGCGAACCGGTGGAAGCTGCGTCGCATTCCTGGTGAGAGCATGCGCGAGACGCTGCGACCCGACTCGCACGCCGCTGCCGAGCCGCTCTCGCTGCTCACTGCCGGGCACGTTCAGTACCGCACACAAGTACGGCTTGCCGTACCAGCAACCGGCCTCTCCGTGTACCCTTACAGGACCATTCGCCCCGCCGTTGATTGGCAACCTGCCTGCTGTGCTCAAGTACGGTGAGTGGAGCAGTGGGATGGGCGTGATCGCGGAGTGACCCAGGAAACCACAAGGGTGTAGCAAGATATGGCTGAAGCAGGCCTGAAAGGCGCGGTGGGCAGAGAGTCGCCGGTCTCAGCAAGCTGTGTGCATGACGATTTGAATGTGTACACCACTGCAAGGGGCGGCTGGATGCACCACGAGGGGCGGACCGAGGTGCACTGGATCAAAGCAACAAGGCATTCCTTGCTCGCCTTGCTGTGCGCCGTGCTGGTTGCACCTCGGCTTTCAACGTCACTGCATGCCGTCACCCCCCACCCTGCTTTCCTAAGCCAGCCTCATGACGTCACCCCCAACCCATCAGGCCTCCATGAGTACCTGGACGTGTGCCGCCGGCGGTACGGCCGCATATGTAAGGTTCGGACGCGCCCAGCGCTCGGCAGCTGATGACACTGACACCAGCAACGTGGACGCCTTTACCATCTAACACACTCATACCTCAACGCCTTTGCTGCCCTTCCACCCTTCCTCTCACAGCAGCAACATGCTCCCCGGTCCCCGCCCTGCAGGTCTACCTGGGCAGCACGCCCTTCATCATCATTGCCGACCCCTACCTCGCCCGCAAGGTGCATTCCCTCACTGTCCCCTCTCATCCTCAGCCATCGCATTTGGCCCCGATGCAGCTGAATCTTTGCATGCCATCCATCCTCAAACTCATGCCACTCTCCGCGTTGCCGCAACAGCCACATTATGACGCTCGCACTGCCGCCTCGCATCGGCTCTGCTCGATCCACGGACACAGCGCGCCGCACTCGACACACCTCCTGCCCATGCCAACCCCTTCACGTGTGTCCTGCTGACCCTGATGCGCCCCTCAGCACACACTTCCTCCGATGACTGCCGCAGCTCTCAATTGCATTGCCCCAAGCTCTCCCACCCTCACCCCTCCGTCTGCAGGTCAACTATCGGCTGATCGACCGCGCCCTCGCCAAACAGCTTTTCCGCCGACAAGACCGGCCGCGACAACGACATCGCGCTCGGCATCGTTGGCGCCAAGTGCGCGGCCTGCCCACCTGCCGCAGCGGTGCCTGCATGCCTGCACGGCCCTCGGGCGCCCCGGCCCTGCTTGTCAAACAGGCTTTTGCTGATCGGTTGAGCTGCGGCAATCCATTTGGTGGTTCTCTGGGTCTCAGATTGAACTCATCTGCTTGGTTGTTTATTACGCATGGCAACCGCACGCCCGCCCCCGCCCTGCCGCAGGGGTGAGGAGTGGCGCCAACTGCGCATGGCCTGGCAGCCTGCGTTTGCGTCGGGCTCCCTGGCCCACTACTCCAGCCTCATGGACTCGTGCGCGGTGCGGCTGTGCGACATGCTGGAGGGGGCGGCCAAGGAGGGGCGCGAGGTGGACATCTTCCGCGCCCTGGGCACCATGACCATGGGGGTGAGCGTGATGTGAGGGGCCGCAACGGCTGGCGCAGGCACACCACTGTCACATTGGTGCCGACACCGTCCTTGAAGGTGTAGAGTCTGCCACATCGCCGCTGCTGGCGCAGCACTGCGCCACAGCTTAGTCAGCGAGCGGGACCGCCTCCAGCCTGCTAAACTCGCACTCAGTTTGATCAGGCTGATGCCACTCATACCCGGCGAGCCGAGTGTGCCCTCGCAATCGCCCCGCCGCCATCTGGACATGCACACGACCACACCCCGCCCCTGCAGGTGGTGGGCAGCACTGCGTTTGGCATTGACTTTCACACGCTGGACGACCCTGACTCACCCTCTGCGGAAGAAGGTCTCCGCCTGGTGCGCACGCTAAAGCCGCGCAACGGCAATTTGAATCACTGAGACACGGCGTCGGCACCACACAGCCCTGCGCGATCGCACCTGCTGCACTGGCCCACGCCAGGGCTTCCCTCGTCCTCTGCAGCTGGGCCCTAGTTTGCGGCACCACAGCCGTCAGGCAGCCCTGGGACGGTTCCCAGCAGCGCTTGCCGCTTTGAATCACCCCCGTGCACACGTGTGTGCGGCTGCCTTCCTCAACGGCTCAGGTTAAGGCCAGCCAGACCGTGTTCTCGTCCGCTTCACTGGTGGCCGGGACCCTCTACCAGCCGCTGATGCTGTTTTTCCCCAAGGCCGCGCCTTTTGTGCAGTGGCTGGCGCGCACCCTGCCAGACAAGAAGCTGTTGCAGGTGTCCCAGGTTGGTGTTTCTTGTGTGTTTTAAGTCCAGGCAAAACGATGTGCGCATGCTTGTGCATGCGTGAGCATGCGTGCATGCGTCTTTGCAAGCAAATACGCGCATTCATGCGTGGTTGCTTGCGGTTGCATTACTAATGCAACCGCAAGCAAACGCGCATGCTTAATGCAACCGCAAGCAAACACGCATGCATGCGCGTATGTAATTGCGCACATAGTATCTGTGCGCCAACCAGCTGCCCCTCGCTGGTTCCTACTGCTCTTGCATTGTGGGCATGCCCCACACGCTCCTTGCCCCCACCCTCTCATCTCTCAGGCTCGCGCAACCGTCCGCGAGGTCGGCTACGGCCTCATCCAGAACTGGCGCTCCGCCCACCCCGGCCAGGCTGCGGCCGGCGCCGACAAGGCCGGGCCGCCGGCCGCGGCCAAGGCGGACGCCACGCTGGAGGAGCTCCAGGGGGAGGCCCCCGGCCTGCTGGTGCAGGCGGCCGCGCGCGCAGGCGCGCCCAAGGCTACCTTTGGCGGCGCTGACGCCGCCAGCGGCATCAACATCGTCGGCACGGCCAAGCGGGGAGCGACGGACGTGGAGCCCGGCAGCTTCCTGGGCCTGCTGCTGCGCGCGCGTGACCATGCCAGCGGGGCGGCCAAGTTTTCTGACGCGACCATCACCGCCCAGGCCTCCACCTTCATCCTGGCGGGCTACGAGGTTGGTTGGGCTGGTGCAAAACGAGGGTGCATAGACTGATTTGGGTCTGCTTTTCCTGATTGCTTCGGGTCCCATGCATCTGTCATGCAGTCGTGTGCCCAGCAGGCGACCCTGTGTTGGCCAGACGCAGCTGGCAACACTTCGGCTGCAATCACCTCTCGTCACCCACTGTTGCGCCCGCCACACTTCCTCCGTGCCCGAACCCCTTCCCGCCGGCCCCCCACCAGACCACGGCCAACGCGCTGTCCTATGCGGTGTACAACATCGCCCTCAGCCCCCGCGTCCAGGTGCGGCACAACTAGAGGGAAACGATGGACGGACATGGGTGCCGCAGCAGCCTCCGGGGTGGGCTGGGTGTTCTCTATGCTTCCAGAATGCTGCTGCCGGTCCAGGCTGCCCCTGATTGCGGGCAAAACGGCCCAGGCACAGCAGCGCCCCTGCCTTTCACACTTCCCGTCTCAACTGTCCAGGAGCGCCTCCTTGCAGAGATTGACGCCTTTGGACGCACCCGCCAGGTCGACGCAGGGGCGGTCAAATTTGTGGCTGTTGCACATGGTTAGACCGTGCTTCGGTTTTTCGCTGCCACCGGCCCATCATAGCACGGGGATTTCATCAAGCGATAGCGGGGCAAAATCACGCTTGGCTGCTTGCGCGCATCAACACATGGCATCCATCATCCTGACACTCGTGGACGAATAAGTTTACTGCTCAGCCACCAGCACCAACCCCGCCGCCCACCAGGTCACGCACGCAGACCTGGGGGAGTTCCCCTACGTAGAGGCGGTGGTCAAGGAGGCCCTGCGCCTCTGTGAGTGCCCACCCCCTGGGGGGGGAGGGGGCAAGGACGCACTTGCTTGCGGTAGGGAGCGCATGCAGATGGCACTGGTGTATTTCCAGCCTGTGCCTGTGACCCGAGCAGGACGCTCTGCGCTTTGACCCGCCACACTCTTGCCCCCCCCCTCACTCGACATGCTCAGACCCCCCGGCCACAATGACGAGCCGTGTCGTGTCCAAGCAGGAAGGCATGTATCTCGTGCCGGGTGTCACGGTCGAGAAGGTGTGCTCCCCACCTCGCACACGTACAGGCACACGTGTGTTCGCCTTGCAAGTGCACCGCAGGGTTTTGGGGCATTTAAACCCCACGCCTACATTTGGCAGCACATCTGCTCCACAAGCGATTTTATCCCTGGCATGCATCCACAACAAGGCAGCATGACGTCAGTGCCTGCCCCATGCTTGCACCCTGGCACCTCCACTCAATGCAACGTCGCCATTGCTCCAAGGCTATGATCCGTGTGCGGCTTGTGCCCCATTGACAAGGTGAGCTCAGCCAAAACACTCCTCATCCTCACGCGCCCCCCCCAGGGCGCCAACCTCTTCACCGCGCCCTACTGCTATCAGAGGGACGAGGCCTACTGGCCCCGCCCCCTGGAGTTTGCCCCCGAGCGCTTCCTGCCAGAGGGCTCCGCGCTGGCTCCCGCCACCGACGACGCGTGGACGCCGTTTGGCGCGGGGCCGCGGATGTGCATCGGGTGGAGGTTTGCACTGAACGAGGCCAAGATCGCGCTGGTGCGGCTGCACCAGCGCTTCAGCTTCGAGCTGCGGCCCGGGCAGGTGGGCGGGCCTGGGGGCTTGGACTTGTGGGGTGGCTGGGCATCACCGTGGCACCACGCATACGGCAGCACCGTGCGTGAGGGGTTTGCAACGTGTCCCGTGCCGCGCAGGGGCGTCCACTTCCTGCCATGCCCTGTCTGCTGCCTCCCATGATTGCGCACCCGCCCACTGCCTCGCATGATTGCCTTCGGATGCAACGGCCCAGCACTGTGCTGCCTCGATTGCAATTGACCCCATCCTCATGCAGGTGCCCCTCAAGCTGCGACTGGGCATGACCCTCTCGCCGGTTGACGGCGTCTGGGTGCGCCCGATCGCCCGTGGTGGCGAGGGCGAGGCGCTGGATGTGCCGCCGTCGGCGGCCGCTTGAGCTGCGCCAGAGGAGAGAAGTACTTCGAGCCCAGACCAGACCAGGTTGACTTGGGCGACGCGAATGGAGGTAAATCCTTGGCCAAAGGAGCGTTCGTGACTGCTGAAAGCAACGAAGACTTTGTTGGGCGGGGCTCAGCAGAGCCAAGGACTTTCTGTTGGTTGACCCGCGCTGCGCACTGCCGCCTGCGCCCTGATCTGGGCGGCTTGCCTGCAAACCCAAGGAACGGGGTGTTGGGTCACCGCCCTGGTCAACCTGCGGGGGGACGCAGGCGGCCTCAGACCAGTGGAAGTTGCGTTGCTCCCGCACTGGTTTGTCGAAGGAGCCTCACAGCCACTCCTTCACCAGCTTTCAGGGGCTTTGCTGAGTTGAGGGAGGGCTTACTGATGCTACCCAGGTCACACTTCACTGCAATTCACTATTGATTTCGAGCCACGTACGTGACGCATCACGTCGGAGCGCAGCACTCACCGCGGGAGCCAGCACACCACAGCAGGCTGGGAGCATCGGATTCACACTTGTTTGTCTACGCGTGCGACACAAGGCATCTGTCAAGGCCAGCGGTTTTGTGGCGTTCCCGTGCTTCACACTGGCTAGGCTCAGACTAAATGCCATGACAGTGCAGGACTGTGCTCGGGTGCGAGCAACTTCACGTGCACGTTGCCCATGTCCTGGTACTAGTGTAACGCCGAGCACGCACTCCTCAAAATACACACGACAGCGTATTGCTCACCACTGTTGATACCCAAATGTGTTTTTCAACACACACTGTGTGGATGCCAGCAACATGGCAACCAGCACAGAATGAGTGGACGAGCTGGCCCAACCCCCCCTGGGGCAGTTGCTACCTTGCTCGCATCCCTCCTCACGGCGTTCACAGCTGCTGTGGTGCCTTGATACCTTGACGGCGACACTGCTGCGTCTATGGCTTTGCTGCACTTGGCTTAGCTCAGGCTGAGCTTCACTTGTCCAACAGCTTCAAACCACACCCCGACCTTGTAATGAAAGCGCAGCGCCTGGCGACACAGTGACCTTGGTGACGCAGGTCACACATTTGCTTTGGCGATCAACAGCTCGACCTTGACATGATCAACAGCAGTCTGCCGCTTGGACTTTATATACATTCAGCCATCGCAAGGGGTTTGGAATACGACCCTCGATGACCGCCAGATCGGCGCGGGGCTTCGCGGTCACAGCGTTTTTATAGGCGCGCTGCACAGCGCAAGTTACAAGCATATTGCCAGATGCCTGCGATGGCGGTGAGCTTGCGCTGATGCCTTTCTCTGTGAGGCCGGCGACTGATGCGCCATGTGATGCTCGACGCGCTCGGCTGTGTTGCTGCGACCGGTTCAGCCAGCTTCGGGCCTAGCATACATGTGGGCGTACAAAAAAGTGTGAGCATACATACACATTCTTGCATCGTGCCCTTACGCGACTGACACAAATGTGGTTTGGCCCGCAACCGCAACTCGACTCCCATCCCATGCAACACGGCTCAGGAGGCAATCCCGATCATCGACCTCTCCGCCCCCGATCCCGAAGCTGCCGCCGCCCTGGGCGCCGCCTGCCGCGGCTCTGGTTTCTTTCTTGCAGCGGGCCACGGCGTGCCGGACGATGTCGTCATCTCGATGTTTGACCAGATCAGGTCACTGTTTGACCTGCCCATTGCCGACAAGATGGCGCTGCTGCAGGTGCACGGGCGGCGCAGTGCCCGCAAGACGCAGTGCAGGCCGGGTGCTTTTAGAGCGCACATGTGGCACACATTTTGTGATTCTTTCGAGTCATTATTGCGGATGATGCACTGGGGTGTCCTGCTGGGGTCCCTGTTGCTGGCTGCCCTTTCACCTTGCTGACCAGCCTGCGGCCGCATCTGGCCCAAAATCGATTGCCCCAGGACGAAAACAACCGCGGGTATACGCCCCTGTTGGAGGAGACCCTTGATCCTGGGTCACAGACCAAGGCGCGTGCAATTGACGTGTCTGCTCGCCTTTGGCTGCAACTGTCGTCCGGGGCAACGCTTAATGTGCAATGCGGGCCTCGGGTCTCAGCGCCGTTGCTCAGAGTGAGAAGACGTATGCCCAGGTAGCTAGATTCGAATTGCCCGCTGAACAGCAGTTTTGGTTTTGCGCAGGGTGATACCAAGGAGGGCTACTACATCGGCAGGTGAGGCAGAGGAGGGGCAGGGCTACTCCACTGCTGCTCAGCATGTCGAGCCTGGCTTGGCATCGCGATAACGCACGCACTGTGTTCAAGCAACGCTCAACCATCTGCATGCGTGTGCCATGCTGCTTATGAAATTGCCACCCGCAGCTGCGATCCTTGGTGTGTACACTGGACCCTGTACCAGTCAACACAATCTGCTCGCCCATCCCTGACTCTCCACGTGACACCCAGAGAGGTCCCCGCGGACAGCCCCGAGGCGCAGCTACCCCTCCACGGCCCCAACCTTTGGCCGCCTGAGAAGCTTCTGCCCGGCTTCCGTGCCACCACCGAGGCCTACTTCTCCTCCGTCACTGCCCTCGGCCACCGCCTGCTGCGGCTGCTCGCGATCAGCCTAGATCTGGAGCCAGGTCACTTTGACCCGTTCTTCGACCCGCCCATGGTATTCCTGCGGCCGCTGCACTACAGTGCAGAGGTCTCCCGGCCGGGGGATGGCGTGTTCGGGGCCGGCGCGCACAGCGACTACGTGAGTGACTCATGGTGCCTGTGCAGTGTACCCGCCTCCACCAAGGGAGGCTCATCAGATTTCGGCTGCGATGCTGGCGCGAATCACTACTTGGCGTTTCTACACATGCGTGCATCCACGATGCGTATTGGAACTCTTTTGTTGACACTGTCCAGCTCATTAACCCCTCCAATCCCTGCATACCCCAGGGCATGCTTACGGTCCTGGCAACCGATGGCCAGCCAGGGCTGCAGGTGCATGTGGGGGGCGCCTGGGTGGACGTGCCTGCCGCCCCGCGCTGCTTCGTGTGCAATCTGGGGGACATGCTGGAGCGGTGGGTGAATTCATGTGTGCCTGTGTCTGCGAGTGCGGGGTGGTTCACCTGCGCTTGCTTGCAATGCACGCATGTGTGTGTGTGTGTGTGTGTGTGTGTGTGTGTGTGTGTGTGTGTGTGATTGTGTCGTGCGTCGTCGTTGCTAATGCACGGGGTAGGCGGAATGCTTTCCTTCCGTCAGATATGTATTAGAATCACCCAATACGCAAGCCACCGTTGGCCTCAAAGGCGCCCCCTGTGCACAACCAGACTGCAAGGGGCCCTCCATAGCAACCCCGCTGGCCACGCCACTGAAGACCCCTAGCCTCTGTGCACCTCTCCAAACCGTCAGGTGGACCAACGGGCTGTACAAGAGCACCCTGCATCGCGTCGTCAGTACTACGGGGCGTGACCGCTACTCGATACCTTTCTTTTTTGAGGTGCGGCCTGTGCGCGTGCGGAGACAGCTGGCTGCTTTGAACGTTGCGTGCACCTAGACGGCTCACAGTTCTGCCGCCGGCTCCTGCTCAGGCGCGAGCTGTGTGCGGGCTTGCAGGAACATCATGCGGACCGTTTCACATCACCACGCTAGGCGCTCCCCCTGCCTGTGTGCCTGCCTCGCTGACTCCTTGGCCGTAGGCCGGCCGCCGCTCGCCACCTCAACCCCTTCTCCGCGGATCGCCGCTCGCTCATCCCCACCACCCCTCCACGCCAGCCAAACTTCAACGCTGTGGTGGAGGCGCTCCCGTGCTGCGTCACGGCGGACCGTCCCGCCGCCTACCCCCCCACCACAGCGGGGCGCCACCTCCTGGAGAAGTACGCCGCCACACACGCGGGCTACGGGAATGGCGAGGCAGCAGCGGCAACAGCGGCAGCGGGGGCGGCGGGGGCAGCGGGGGCAGTGTGAACAATAGCGAGGCCGAGCAGGGGAGATTGCATGATTGCAGCCGGAGGGGTGCCTGATGGGTAGCAGTACGTACGAAGTTTGCTGGGCCCTGCAATTGCCTCTCGGTGTGGCAGTGCTGTCAGCTTGGTTATTTTGACTCTGTGTGCGTCAGCCGCGCGCCCTCCCCTGTTGAGTGGCCTGGCAGTTTCATGGTTATTTCAACTTCACAACAATTGGATCAGATGCAGGTGCTCGGGGTCACACATCGTTTGCACAATTTGCTGATTTGTTGTTGAAGACAGCTTTTTTGTCTCTCTTGCCTTCATTGCATAAGCACACCGAGTGACTGTTACACAGCAGTGATGCAAAGATGGCGCAGCAGCGGTAGCCAGGCGTCTGACAGCAAACGGCTGCCGGCGGCTCTGAGAAAGCGCGCAGCGCGGGGCCGTCGTGCAGAGGACAGAGGCAAGGGCTATGAGCTTGAACGTGATTGGGTCATAAGGCTTTGCCACGCGGCTAGATTGAGGGTGACAAGGCAGATAGGGGTGAGGTGCGAGCACGGAGGTGGCGCGATGTCGCCTCTAGCACCTGTGCGTGGCTCCCACACCATGCAGTTTGTGCGCTTGTCCAGCGCCGGCTGCCCCGCCAGTCTTCTTGCTTGAAACCCACAAGTGACGACATGACAAAGCACAGCCCGAATTGTCCGTTGAAATTTCAGCACTTCAAACAAAGGTAAAGGGATTGGCCAACCCACGCTCAGATCTAAGTATACTTGAATCCCGCTGGTCTTGGTCACGCAGATGAACAGAGGCAGCTGCCACGGCTGAGAGCAATTGCAGAAAACAATCCAAGCAGCCGCGCGCCTGGGCTCCCGCAAGACCACGAAAAAGCAAAGATGGCCTTCACCCGCACGCTCAGGAGGAGGGCGCCGCAGCCGCTGGCGTCGCCAGCACACAGCCACGCTCTTTTCGGATGGGCAGTGGTGCAGAGTGTCCCCTCAGTGCAAAGGGGAGGCTGGGCCTCAGCCCTTTGCGAACGAAATCGCCGACTTTGGCGATCGCAATAGACATGTATGTGTATGCGACGCCTGCTCCGGGCACCGCAGGCGAGCAAGCAGATATAGGGCTGAGCCCTTACACCTGCCTGATGTGCTCACACGCACAGCGACCTGCGACCAGTTTCCCGTCCAGCTCCGCCAAAATAGTCGCCGGTCGCTGTGCATGCGCATCCAACCCTGGCCACCAGCCGCCCGAGCAGAGAGCGCAGCGGACGGCGCCGCGGAGGCCAGGCCAGATCGGCGGCGCGTACGTCCAGACGTATAGCTGTGGCACTCGCAGCACAGCCAGGTCCCTTTGGACAGTTGTGCCTGGCCCCTCAGAACAGGTAGTCCCCAAAGGAGAGGCAGAGGAAGCTGAAGACCATGATCCACGTGAAGCTGGCGAGAAGCCACAGCCGCCACCAGCACGCCGCAAACGTCATGCCCTGCAGGAGGGAGGGTGTTGTGCGGCACGCTTCAAGCATGGACGCGAGGTTCGGCGCCTTGATCTTCAACGTTCAATCACCACTTCGCCAAGCACTGCCTGCCGCACTGCAGCCTTCCCACGCAGCCCGATGCCAGCAGGCGCCAGTGCCCGAATACGTCTTGATCAAGCTTTCCTCCCCATGCTTGCCAGACCATCCCTCCCTGCCCCTCATCATGCTGCGCCCTCAACCAGCAACTTATCAGCCGCCCATGTCGTCGGACCCCACCAGGTAGTACACGGCTATGACCAGGTCCAGGGTGTAGGGCTTGTGGTACGCGCGGCCGCCCATCTTGCCCTTGCCAAACTTCTTGGTCACCTGGGGAAGAAAGTTGTTTGAGAAGGCTCTGCATGCGTCAGCAGTAGCAGCATGAACAAGCAGACCAGCCAGACGCAAGCATGCGGCCGCGTTCAGTGCCGCTGCAGTCCAAGCAGCGGTTGCATCCGGGGCGCTGAAGGCTGCACAAAATGACGCCTGAGAGTGAGCAGCGCCGTGCCTCTGGCTTGGATGGCCAAGGCCTGATCACCTTCCAGCCCTTGGTCTTTTCGCTGCCGATGAGGCCGCTGCCCATGGCGTACACCCGGAAGTAGCCAATACCCTGAGGCCGGCAGCAGTTGGGCCAGGATTGACAGGTGCATATGGCAGGCGCACAAGCATTGCTGTGACCAGGATGGCACACGGCCACCTTCAGTCTGGTCAAGCTGTGCAATGCCATGTGTGCTGCCTTGTGTGCCGTTTTGGTGACATCTCACTGGCAGCAGCAGTAGCAGCAGCAGCAGCAGCGGCAGCACCACCAGCAGCAGCAGCGGCAGCAGCAGCAGCGGCGGCGGCAGCCACGACAATGATAGTGGCAGCAGCAGTGTCGGCGTGACGCTCACGGTTTGAAACAGGAAATACGGCCAGAACAGCGGCCCCACCAGCCACCAGAACACCAGCGCCGACGTGTTGCCGCTGATGAGGAAGGCGTAGTTGGGCCAGTCCCAACGCCAGGGGTCCAGCCAGATCACGATGGCGGGGCACATCAGGGACACGATCGTCAGGAAGGCCGTGTAGATGAACCTGCGGGTTTGCGGGGGTGAGCACAGGCAGCGCTTGGAATGGTCACTTGCCCCTTGGCCTGGTGATTCCACTCCACTTCTTGCCCTGCTGAGTCCACAACACAACAACCTAGTCAGCCGACTTGCGGATTGCCCTCCGACACAAATATACCTAGAACCTGGCCCCTTTGCTGGCCCCTGCCGATGGTCCGAACAAATACCTGAAGAAGAAGTAGCTGCATGAAAGGCGGTCAAAGAAGTTGACCTTGTCTGTCGTCCATATTGTGGCCAGCATCTGCTTCAGCACCACCATGGGGCCGCTGTTCCAGCGGAACTGCTGCGTCTTGTACGCACTCAGCGTTGGCGGCAGCTCGTTGGGGCAGTGCACCCAGTCCAAGTACCTGGGTGCGGTGTTTGGGCCGCAGGGCCGACCAAAAACTCCATCCTGAAGCCACCCAGGGGCATGTTCCATTGACGCAAGTGCCGCTAGTACGGCACGCCTGGGTGCACAAGCAAACATTAGACCCTCCGAGGTAGGAGCAGCCACCATTAGGTCAAACTGTGCATTCAAATGCCCCAGGACGCCCCTTTCTCCACACCTGAACTTCCAGCCCTGCACGTATGCACGTATGGACAGGTCCATGTCCTCCACAGTGCTGTCCATGTTCCAGCCCCCCGCCCCCTCCAGCGCCGTCCGCCGCCACACGCCACCCGTGCCGTTGAAGCCGAAGAAGGTGCACATGAAGGAGCGCGCGCGCTGCTCCACGGCGAAGTGGTAGTTGAGGCTCACCCTCTGGGCCCTGCATTGGTTTGAAGGAGAGGAAGGGTGCGGTAACAGAGCGAGTCAGTACAGAGCTTTGCCTTCACAACAGCGCCTTGCCATTGTGCTTGTGAGTCACAACTTCAATGGTAACATAGCAACTGTTTGCACATCAGAAAAACCAACGACTCAGATAACAAACCCAGAAAATAGACGAATATCAAGATGAAATCCCTTTCCGCAGCAGCACACCAGCACAGCAGGTTGTCATATCCGTTGGTGAACGTCCACCGCGTCTGCACAAACGCCAGGCGCGGGTCCTCCGCCATGTGCCAGACCGTCTGGAACAGGAAGTCGCGCGGCATCTCAAAGTCGGCGTCAAACACCGCCACATACTCCCAAGGCAGGTCCTGCAGCGAGGCGGGGGTGGCTTTCAGCACAGCGTTGACAATGATACAGCCCGTTGTGAGAGATCAGGGGCGCTGTTGAAGCAACATGCAATCTTGGATAGCTATGATCTTGGTCACAGGCCTTGCAGTAATGAGCGTCTATTGCTGCTATGCGTGGAGCCATCGTGGTTGGCGTTCACAGACCTGCACCGCCCGCATGCCGTTGACCATGTTTCCCGCTTTGTAGCCGATGTTGGCGGGGCGACGGACCACCACGCACGCGTGGCCGGCGGCAGCCATGTCGGCGACCTTGGCGTCGATGCGGCGCTTGATGTCGTCTCGCGTTGAGTCGTCGCACACCTGCAGTGCAGGTTTGCAGGAGGCTCGCAGCTGAGCAGGTTTGACGCCTGTAAAGCAGGCGTGCTATGGCAGATCGCTTGTTACATACAGCATGACCGCAAGCAGCACTGCCGGGTAGATTCCTGACGGCTAGGTCTACTGAAATTTGAGCAATCTCCCCACACCCAGAGCCATCTGAGCTGGCAGGGAAGCCTCCAACGCCGCCCCGCAGGCCCTTGGCAAGCTCACCTGGATGACCAACCGGTCCCTCGGCCACTCCATGCGGCACGCCCGCTCGATCACCACCTCGCAGTGCGCCTCCTCATTGTACATCGGCAGCTGCACAAGCACGAGCGGGTAGCCGTTGGGCAGCTGCTCGTAGCGCGACACCAAGCTCTGAGGCAGCAGCATCGTCGCCTCCACCGCTTGGTGCACGGCTTTCACGCCGCAGCAGGTTCCGGCCGACACACGGCGGCCCAGCGCCTTGTTCGCCGCTGCTGCGGCTGCGAGCGACTGCTTGGTGCGCGGGGTTGCGCTGCTAGCGCTCGCGCTGCCAGAGCTGTGTGCGCCGGCCGCAGGACTGCTGCCCGAGTCTGCGGCACCCCCAGTGCCGCTGTTGCTGTTGGTGCGCAGGCGTAGGTTGGGACCTGTGAGCGTTGCCATGATGGAACGCTGATGAAGCCCATGCTGCTGTTGCTGCTGTTGTTGCTGCTGCTGCTGTTGCTGCTGCTCCAGCAATTCCTGCTGCTGCTGCTGCTGCTCCTGCTGCTCCTGCTGCTGCTGGATTCCTGCGGCAGCATCCAAGCTGCCGCCATGGTGGGCCGCTAGGCTCGCAGCTGCAGCCGCCCCGGGTGTGAGAGGCGATCCCGGGCGTCGCGGGGTGGTGCTGCTGCTTGGGCTGCTGCACGCGCTGCTGCGCGTGTTTTGGTCGCTTAGGGTGGCGGCCGCCGCCGTCCACGCACCTCTGCCGGCAAACACGTGCACTCCTCGTCTCTGCCCATGCTTCTGTGCTGCACCGCTGCCGGCGCCGCCGCCGTCCGCCGCCTCGCCTGTCCCCGACTTTGACCCTACACTCTGCGGTGGGCACACAAGCTGGGACGGGTGTCTTCGCTCATACGCCGGGTGGCCCGGCACAGGTGCCAGCCACTCCCAGGTCGCAGCGACCACAGCGATCAGGGTATAAACAATGACGTCCAGCTGGTATATCAAGAAGGCGCCAGCAAACGCCAGGTACCAGATCATTGCTGCCGCCGCCGCTATGGGCGTGGCGCCAGCGGCTGTGACGCCGTCTTGCCGCTCCTGCTCGTCAGGCGCTGCTGCGTGACGGCGGCCGTCGCCCCCTCTGCCAAAGGTCCCGGCGCAGCCGTTTGTCGCTTGCAGGCGGTGTGGCCGCCACTGATGATCGTATAAAGGAGTTCAAAACTCTATGGTGCCCCCGCCTGCAATTGACGACGGGGCACAGCAGGGCACAGACTGCAGTCGGTACTGCGTGCAGCGCGTGGAGCAGCCCAGGTTGCGTGGCCGCGGCATGGCCTTGGACCCGACCCGGGGCTCTCTAGTTTGCAGTTTGGATGATTCAAGTTCCTTCAATGACATCACAAAGCAAGGCAGCGTCGCGTGCAGTGATCGGAGCAGCGGGCGGCATTTCAAACCGCTTCACCTGAGCAACAGCCCACAGGGACCTTATATACCCATATATACGTTCGTCTTGGGTATCACGCGATCCCTATGCCTCCGCATGCAAGAATTTCGCGGTGTTTGGCCGGTGTGCATCACCACTGGCAAGCGAACGGGCCGTAATGCTTGTAAAGATGTTAGATAGCACCCGCTTGGTGTAATGTTGTTCTGCATACCACAGAAAACCGTCGTGCACTTGCTGCCAAGCGGCTGTTTGTGCCGCTGCTTATCCCGCGGCATCGAGATGACGGCAGGCGCCTTTCAATCGCAATAGGTTGATGTAGCAGCAGCCGAGCACGTGGAGCATCGGCACAGGCGCAAGAGGGCGCACGAGCGTCAGCCGCTGCTTGCGCCCATCGCCGCCGCTCGTGCGCAGCCATGGTGTACGTGGAGGTTGACGACGGGCCCGTGCGGCTGCCAGGTGTGTACCACAGCTGGCACCCCACGGTGTGTGTGGCGATCAGTCCCAGCATTGGACTCTCACAGCATGCAGCTGGGCGCCGCAGCGACGCCCGCCTCCTACTCACCCTTGCCCCGCATGCGCCCGACAACCGCAGGCTGCGCACCCCTGTACCATATGCCCCAGACTAAATGGACCCCGAAGCTGTTCTGGCAGATGGCGGCATACGTAACGTGGATAGTCAGCAGCATGGTCATCGGCGGCCTGATGCCCTTCCTGCTAGATGCGCGCGCCGCGCGCCAGGTGGAGGAGGCGTGGCAGGCCAACGTCGCATCGCTGCCGGCCTCCAACTACACCTTCTGCCCAAAGAAGGCCGTCTATAATTACAGTGCGCGGCACGGCAGTGCTGGCTTGCGGCGCCATGCGGTATGACGGCCAGGCAGCGGCAGCTGTGCAGCTGATTTAATCGGCCCTGCCAGCGTGATCAATCCACGACAATCCAGACTCAAGGACTCCGCTTGTGCCTGCCACAACCCATCAGTGCCTCTGGCGCGCGGCTACCCAGCGCCGCCCCTGGCTGTCAACGGCAGCGACCTGGTGGACACGTGGAGCTGGAGGAAGGTCACCCTGAGGGGCGTCAACTGGTTTGGCTTCAACAACGAGGTGTGGTCTGGACGCTGCCATGAGCGCGAAAGACTCCTCAACCCCATTGCAAACAGCCAAGCGAATAGCCCATGAAACACATCCGATGATGGCTATTGCAGCCGTTTTGGGCTCAAGATGCAGTGGTGACTGCCACTTTGATAGGAGTTCACCTGTGTCGAGCCGCCCGACTCTCGTTTCACGAGCGCCTCCCCGCCCTACCCCCTCCACACACGCAGGGCGGCATGGTGGACGGCCTGTGGGTGGGCGGAACCCGCGGTGACACCGACTTTCACGCCCTGGCTTACCAGATCAAGCTCCTCGGCTTCAACGCTGTCCGGCTGCCTTTCACTTTCTCCCAGCTCAAGCTGCCCGGCAAGCGGCAGGCGATGGAGTGCGCGGCGAGCACGAAGAGCGCGTGGGCCAGGCGCGCGACCGACCCGACCCTCAGCCCCAAGCCGGAGTACTCGGTCGCGCCCGACCCGCCCCTGTTCATGGAGGTGGCCGAGTGGGACAGGGACATGTGCAACACGTATGTGCCATCGAATGAGACGGCGCTGGCGGGGGAGCGGCTGCTGTGGGCGGTGCAGTACTTCATAGCCTCTGGCTTCTACGTGGTGGTGAGCAACCACGGGCAGCAGGCGTGGGTGTTTGCACTTAGCCGGGAATGCTGGCAATTGCCAGTGTTGGCACCCAGCCGACCTGATGGTGACTTGGCTTCATTCAGACGCCCGTGGCATGCATTCCGTATTACTCCTCGCAACCACCAAGAAATCCAGCTTGTCATGTCAAAGGTGCATCACACAACCGACCAATCCACTGAAAGACAGCTGCAAAACCCCACACAGGCCAACCCATCTTCAACCCACCTTCAACCCCACTTGTTGCTTGCAGCTGGACTACCATCCCCTGCCCTCTGACCCCCTGCCTGCCGACCCAAAGAAGTTTGCCTACGCCTGGCTCAACACCTGGGCAAGCATCACCTGCCTGCCCAACTTTGCGCCAGACATCCGTGGCCGCGTGCTGCTTGACTTGCTGAACGAGCCGGATACGACGCTCAGGGGGCGCGGCGTTCACTGGCAGCGGTGAGTCCCTGGCGTATTTTGGGCGGGGGTGTCCGTGAAATGACTGACTCAGACGTCTGACGGCAGTGTCACCAGGTTAGTGTTAGGGTAGCATTGTTGAGGCCAGCCGCATGGTTGTTGTGGCCACTGAGCGTGCCAGTGGGTGCTAGTTCATTTCTGCAACCATGCGGCTTTCAGCTTGGCTGGAAGCATCTGGAGCATGGCACGCCCATCGTTGCGACTCGACCCTCTCGGCACTTTCACAGAGCTGGCGACACACCAGGGCTCGACGAGCTCTACCTGACCACCATGGACGCAATTGAGGCGCTGACCCCTGGAGACGCGCTGTTCATGGTGCAGGGCAGCACGGCAACTGGGGCCGAGGCGGAGGGCGGCATGAGGAACGTCAACGGTTTCAACCTCAGCACCGGTGCGGCACATGCGTGCAAGGACAACGCCACGGCTTCAGCTCGCTTCTTGTGCGAACCAAGCCGTCTGAAACACTGCCTGTCCCACGACCCATCCACAACAAAACATTGCCAGACTGCCCCCTCAACTCTCCTCTGCCGTGTGTCAACCCGCCCGCAGGCGACGGATTTGTGACAGATGCTGCCACCATATCCGCCAACGGCCTCTCCGACCCCAGCCCATTTCTCAACGAGCTGCTGCTCCGCGCCTACTCCACGCGCACCCTGCTGGCGCCCCACCTCTACCCGGCAAGCATCTCGACCCGCCTGGTGGGCGCGGTGCCTGCTGGAGGAAAGGAATTATTCGACAAGCTGGCGGCCAGCTGGGGGCGGCTGGCGCGGGTGGGCTACTGCTTGGGGCCGCGCTGCCAGCGGTTCCCTGTCATCATCGGTGAGCAGGGATACGCGGCTGGGGTGAGGCGGGGGTGGGACTGGTCATGCCTAGCCCCATAATCCTGCTGCAGCCACTCAGCAGTACCCTGATATTTCCTGAGATGCAGCGCCTCAAATTAATATGCAGCATCAAGCTGCCGTTACAGTACTGGCTGACCGTTGGATTTGCCGCAGCCTCTCACGCAGCGCTGCGTTGTTGCGCATGCTTTGCACCTTGTCAGGGGAGATGGGGAGCGAGCTGGCGACCAAGGACGACCTCAAGTACTACGTCGATGCGGCGTCCTTTGCGACGGCTCAGGGAGACCTGGCACAGCAGACAGCGCCGGTGGCCGGGTGGTTCTGGTGGTCATTCAATGCCAACAGCATGGGTGAGCCGCATGAGCACGGCCTTGGCTGGATGCCATTGAGACTGGCCGGTTTGTGACGCTGGTCCTTTCAATCTGCTGCAGCACTGTGATGCCGCTGAAGTGCTGCTTGCTGCAGCCAAGCTGCCCACCCCCACCTTGGACGACCAAAAAATCTTGGCAACCTCGACAGCAACATCTCTGACGTCCACTTCCCCGCAGACACTGGCGGCCTGGTTGCCAAATCGGGTCACTCTTACAACTGGGTCAAGCTGCGCCTGCTCGCCTCCTCTTTTGGCCTCAAGCCGTGGTTCAACGACCCCCAGGCCTTCGTCGCCGACCAAGCAGCCTCACAGGCGGAGGCAAAGAGCATCCAGGATGCTCAAGCAAGCGCGGCGCTCGCGGCGGCGCAGCGCAAGGCAAAGGAGGAGGCCGTCGCGGATGTGTCAGCGGATGGTGGTGCAGTGCCTCGCGTGTCGAGCATATCAGACATCATCATTCAGTATAAGCCCTTGATGCAGGCGGCCCTTGCGGCAACAATGGCAACCAACACCACCGCCATGACGGGGACGGCCCGGCCCGCAATTGTGGCACCAGCCGCAGGCACGACGGTGGCAGCGCTGGCCACAGGGGCGGCAGGGACGGCAGGGACGGCAAGGACGGCAGGGACGGCGGGGACGGCAGAGACTGAAGGGACGACGGGGACGGCAGGGACTGCAGGGACTGCGATCACAACGACTGCTGTTGAAGACTCTGCACCTGTGGGGGCGGTGACGCTGGCAGCGGTGGCGGCAACGCCAGTGCCCGAGGCGACAAGGGCCAGTGCGACGACCCCAGTTGCAGCTCCCGCAGTTGCCCCGATTGCCGCTTCACCCATACCCACCTCGGCTGGAAGTTTCGCCAGCCCGTATGTCGGCGCCGCCTCTCCTGTGGACGTTCTGGTCGCCGCTCTGGTTGCAGCGCCAGAGGCCGTGGCCGCGGCTGCTGCGCCATCAGACGTGGCTGCGGCTGCTGCGCCATTAGACGCTGCTGCGGCTGCTGCGCCAACAGCCGCGTCTGCGACTGCTACGCCTAAAGCTACGGCCCCAGAAGCCCTTGAGGCAACTCAGGACTCTGCAAACGTGGCAGGCGCCACTGCCTCAGTCACTGTGGGCATTTCGCCTACTGCTCCTGATACGGCCGCAGCCCTGCCCATCGCAGACGCAGCGCCTGCCTTCGTTGGCGAGGCATCTGCTTCTGAACGGATTCAGGTCGCTGGCGTGGCTGCTGAGCAGAAATAGGGGTGGAGGCAACGGCTGCGCTACCTGCACACTGAGAATATGTTGAGTCTGACATGTATGATGCAATTCTTTGTATCTATGCCCGCTTGCGTGCTTCTGTTTGGTGCAGGTGTAAGACTTGGCAATCAGGGTGTGGTGCACTCGCAGCAGCATTTTGCAGGATCAGCATCAACAAAACCAGGAAGATGGTGCCACAGGATGCAATAGCGGTAGCGTGACCCCCTCAGCACCGCATGCGCAGCGGTTGGCTGCTAAGGGTGCGCACACCGCCATCCCAAGGATGCAGCTCCTCGTTGCGCAACTGCCAGTGCAAGAGCACTGCATCCTACAGGGAATGCGCTTCCTGAAAGCTTGTGGCCTCTCAATTAATACATTTTGAATCTTTTGTGGTGCTGCAGCACCGACCAAACAAAATCTATTTGCTGTGAACCTCGATTTCTCCGCGTGATTGTTGTCGGGCGGGGTGGCCGCCAAGGTCTACGAAATTTTGCTGTCTCGGCTACGATGAGGATGCGTGAACTTCTGTTTGCCTTCTTATTGCTGGCAGGTGTGGGCTCGCGGGGTACTGGGGGAAGGTAGCGAGGCGCCCAAACGCAGCCGGCGTTTCATGATTTCAGGGCAGGCCTTGCAGGTCGACAGCCATCCAACGCATTGCAGCCTCTTTGAATTGGAGTGCGCCTCTGCACGGCCGCCACTACGTGTTGCAGGCGCGCTGCTGCGGTCAGCGCACGCAGCGCCGGCTGCCGCGGAGGAGGACAACCCGCTGCCGTGCGAGTGCACAGACGTGGACGCGCGCGAGGCCTTCATCTTGCCGGCCAAATTCACTTGCTGGTGAGGCGCTGAGAGAATGACTTCACCCATGAGTACCCGTAATCGATGGTGCAGCTCCCTTCTCCTCAGGCGTATGGATCCAATCTTTGCGCAAAGGCTCATTGGGCGCCACACAGTTGAGCAGCTGCTGGCAGCCCCCAGATCTGTTGCTTGGTTTGCATCTTGGAGAGTGCTGTCCGCTCCCTCCAACAGGGAACAGTACAAGTTTGGGCAGTGCAGCCAAGGCTTTATGAACATGGTGGGTGGAGGGTCATCGTTTGCAGCAGACTTTGGGCATGCACATGTCACAGCAGCTCGTTGATGTGACCTGACTTTGAATGTGAACAACTGGAAAAGATGCAGCACAGATTCACCGAGCCACGCTCAACAGTCATTTTTCACCTTGATCTCCCACTGCTTGCGGCTCCTGCGCTTGATGCTGCATGTGCAACAACCGCTGCCGATTGGGCCCGCTGCAGACTATTCTCGAGGTGAGAGGCCGTTTTTTTTGGGGGGGGGGGGGCGGGGGAGGGCGCAGGTTGAGTGCTGCAAGCACGCAGGAGTAAGTAGAATTTTTAGGCCAAATTGCTGCTAACTTGCCACCAATGCGCCTGATCTCTTTTGGACATGGCTCATATACGAATCGCACGACTACACCCCAGATCCCTGAGGGCTACTGCCAGATCACTTGTGGCCGCTGCGACTGCTGCCCAAGCCTTCTGAACGCCAGCGTGGCCGCAGGCCTGACTGAATTTGTTTGGGCCATGAACCTTTCATCGTCGGCCAATCGGTCCGAGGACCTGAGTCAACCCGGGCTGATGATGACTCTGCTCGCGCCGGATGACTACGCCATGAGGGACCTGTTTTCCAAGCTGGGTGCGCAGGGTGGAGTGGGGGGCCGGGGGAAGGAGTGACTGGGTGGAGTTGTGTGACGCACGTGTCAAGCCAATGACCAGCTTGGCCTGATTTCTTGGCCAATCTTCCCAAAAGTGGTATCACTGTAACTCTGCTGGTGCAGACCAAGTAACATGCAGCTGGCCAGCTTCAGGCGGACTTCACACCCTGCTACTCCTTGCACAAACGCGCGCACGCTGAACACACAAACACACACACACACACGCACGCACGCACGCACGCACGCACGCACGCGCGCGCACACACACACACACACACACACACACACACATACACACATACACACACAGGCGGCAAGGACCGGATACTGTCAGACTCGGCCGTGCGCGACAAGCTGGGTGCCATCATGGACACCCACCTGCTGCCGCCCCTCAACGCGACCCGCGCCGTCTGGACGACGCCCTTCTTCGTCCAGGGCGCCAAGATGCGCAGCCTGGGGGCGACCGGGGACAACCTGGAAGTCGTGGGGGTGGATTCATCGACGGGGGACATCGAGATCAGGGCGCCGGGCTCCAGCGCGAAGATCAGGCAGAAAGACATCTACGCATGCAAGGTGACACATACGATGTGGCGGCCATGAAATGGGGTACATGGGGCAGCCGTTGGGTGCATGGGAATCGGTTGCAAGCGCAGGGGCGGTTGCAGCCTTAGGCACATTCGTTCGTGCAACGCGAGGCCTGTGGTCTCTCCACATTGTCGCTCTTTGCCCCGAAGCTACGTTGCTGATGCACGCACCTGCCCCTCTTCCACGACATGCATTGCGCCTCAGGGCTTCATCAACGTGATGAATTGGTACCTGCTGCCAACCAACAATGAGTTCTAGGGCGGGCTGCCAGGAAGTACCCCCCCCAAAGGGGTCTGTGGTGTTTTGCTGCTTTGACAACACTGCGCAGGGCGCGTGCCAGGCTTTCTACTGCTGTCACCAGCAGGATGTTGTGCATTCTGCCGGTGGTCCGAGGTGGCTTGATCATGCTTTTGGGAGTAGGATTGCTACAACACGCCGTCGTCGGCCGATTCTGACTGTGATTATTGTCGGTTACCAGTTGTACATAAAAGGCTGTGAGTCCTGTAGCAGCTTGGCAAGCAACTCTGTGCAGTAAAGGTTGATGCGCACGCACGTGTTTAGCAACGTAATGTAACCTCGCCAGTGGGGGTACATGAACAGTTGAAAGTGTGGCAACTCAGGTCAAGCAGTTGACACGTGGAAGGACTTGCGCTACAACACTGTCATCAATGTTCCGGAATGTCCGAGAAGCTGGGTGCCAACTGCGGGCCGCTCCAGCCCCGTCACATCAGGGATCTAGCCGGACCCACCGCCCTCAGCAGGCGGACCCCCAAGCCTCGCAAACAGCCCCCCACCCCCGCTCTCCGCCGCGGCGCCGCCATCCGAGGCAGCAGCAGCGGCCGCCACGCACGCCGGCCGGACGTCGCGGGGCCAGGGCACCTGCCCCAGCCGCGCCGCCAGGGCCTGGTACGGCGCCGACCGCTGCTCGTTCGTCAGCGCGCTCGCGCCGCTGGTCGACGTCAGCACCCACACCTCCGTCGACGCGGGCAGCGGCCATCCGCGCGGCAGCCGCGCCTGCGGGCCGAGGTCCACCGTCGCGGCCTTCTTGGGGCTGCCGCCGCCGCCGCCGCGGCCGCCCTGCCGCGGGCCGCTGCCCTGGGGCCTCGCCAGGGCGGGCCCCTGCCCGCCTGGCGCCACGGTGACCCACGTGCGCTGGGACGGCGGCAGGGCGGAGGGGTCTGCGTTGAGGAGCTCCAGGTACTGCCGCTTTCCAGAGAACGCCACGATGCAGGGGGCGCCGCAGCTGCCGCACACGCAGCCTGGGAGGGGCGGGCGGACATGGAGGCGCGGGCGGTTTGGGCTGCTGCTGCGCCGTCTGCGCCCGGTTTCATACGATCCAGCACAGCGAATGCGGCGGCAAGGGACCCCGAAAGTGGAGCAGGGAATGCGAGGGTGCAGGCGGCGCCGCCCTGGGCAGCGCACCAATGCTTTCAGAGGCTCGCCGCATGTGCTGTGAGAGCCGCGAGTAGAAGCTGGGCAGCCACGCTGATGTGATCAGGTCGGAGGAAAATTGGGAGCTGCGGGAGGGTGTGGAAGAGGGCCAGGGATGTCTAGTTCGAGTTGGATGGTGGAGGATGTCGGGACAGGTGGGCAAACATGTGAAGCCGAGGGTAGGAAGCGCATGGCTGGCCAACACGTGGCTGGAAAAAGCGGCCCGTGCGACGGCACGTGGCTGCGTGCATGGGTGCCACCAAAATGTCCGGCTGGTGTTGGCCACAGCGCCTGCTCCCTTCAGTCTGCGAAAAGAAGCCTCACCAGTCACTCAGGCGGCCCCCTGCCGTCCCTCCGCCCACCTGTCCGTTCCGGGGGTCCCCGTCCCTACGTCAGTAAACCCCACCCCCGCCCGCGCCGGCATGACGTCATCATCCTGGGCGCCCCTGATGCCCTTGGGGGCGATACCCGTGCTGAGGGTGGCATGCGAAGGATTAAGTATGGATCGAGGGGAGGGAAGGGAAGTCGTCATATTGTAATCTGGTGGAACACAGTTTGTTCTGCTGGCATGCTGTGCAACACGGATGCAGGCTGTGCAGGCGCACGGCGCCCTTGTATGTGCTGCAAAGCGCGCCCCGCTGAAGCACCCCGTTGCCGCTTTGCCGCGCACTGCAACCCAGCTCGCCTGATGAGGAGGGGCCACATCCTGTTGCTTGGGTTTGAGTAAAAGTGCCCGGACGCCCACGCATGAGCGCTGGGATTGTGGCCCACTGTGTGGTGGGTGGTGGTTGATCACAGACAACTGCCTCGCATCAGTTTGGAACATTTCTATGATGGTTTTTCGCGCGTACGACCGTTTTTGAGCGCCGGGAGGGGGCAGGGGTCTAGTCAGCACAGGGCACAGCCGTCGTCTCCCAGATTGTCATGTCCCAGACTGCTGCATCCAAGGCAGGCACCGCGATATTCAGGAGGATATTTGCTGGTGCACGCGGCAGCTCACCAATTATGAGCCGCAGGGGCTGGTCTCCCAGCTTCTCAGGGACTCCACCGGGCGGAAGCTGCCCGGGCGGCAGCGCAGCCGGCGACGGCCGCTGCTGTACAGGGGTGGCTTTGTTGGCGCCACCGGAAGGGGTGGAGGAGGCCGCGCCGCTGCCGCGCCGCTTGGCCGTCCCTAAGCTTTGCGTGGCCCCGCTGGCCTCGGCTGCATGGCGCTTCTGGCCGGCGACGGCCGCATCGATGCTGCGCTTTGGTGGTGTGGCAACACGAGCGCCCGGTTCGGAGACTGGCTCTGTTTCTGGTCCCACCTGCGCTGCCTGCGCAGCTGCTATCCCTGCTTGCTTTGTCGGCGACGGTTTTGAGGGGCTGGCCCTGGCCGACGCGAAGCGGAACTCCTGTTGTGTTTGAAGGACACGAGGGGCGTCGGCGGTGATTGCAGTGAGCGCGCCGGCAGCAGAGGTGGCGACAGTCCATGCTGGCCGTTCACAGCGAGGGCTTGGCCACCTGCGGATCAACACGGACCTCAAAGAGGTTCATGTGTACTACTGATGTGCCGAGTGCGATTGTGACAGCTCGCATTCATTCGGCACAAGTCGCCTGGCACGATCTGCGTTTGCCCCTCTGCGAGGTATGGCGCTTATGGGTGTGAAGAGTAGCCATGCATAATCTGGATTGAGCCCAGGGGTCTCTGCCACCTGCCGACACTCGAGTGACGGGTGCGGTCACCTTGGATCTTTGACGCCGCACTTGGGGACACCCATCACTCTCCGACGATCTTCTTCCCCTGACCGCACAAACGTACCAGACCCAGCCTCCAGAATTGGCATATTACAGCAACTCTTGCAGTGCAGTGGCCTGTCAGCAGATCGTTGTGCCTCTACTTCGCTTCGCAACCAGCAGGTCTTCCAAGCGCCCCACAAGTCAACGAGACGCCAAAGCCGCGATGTGCATGCGGCAAGGGGCTGAGCACCATGAACAGGCACAAGCCTCCACATCCAGCCACATTATCAATCCAACCCCAAAGAACAACGCGAACACTTGAGCTGCAGCTCAATATCTGGCCAGTAACTCCTCCACTCATGTGCAGACACACCTACACAATGCCCAGCATGCGCGTGCGCTCGGAACACACGCACGCACTCTGTACCAACACAGGATTCGCGTGGACTGCCGAGTATCTCTTTGGCCCGACGCCTCTGGCTCCCTAGCCTTTGATCCACACGCGTGGCAGCATGCTTGCCGCCCACATGACAGGCGTAATGTCAGAGTCCCTGTAGTAATTGGTTAGGGCGGCCACTCAAAGCACTGCCAGGGTTTTTCTAGGTGCAAATCTCAACAAAGAATGAAGAGCCACTGAGCGTAACATCAACAACAGTCTGGATTTGGTTCGCCACGATTGTGCGTGCGAAGGCGGCTACCACGGGTGTGCTTGCTGGGGGGGCTCGCCTGTCGGTCATGGCGCCGCGCCAGGTCTGGTGCAGCTCTGCCACCCGTCCCGCCCAAAGCTTGGCAGAAGGTAGCTCTGGCACGCGGCTGATGAGTGCCTGCGGGTCAGCAGCAGGAGGTTTTGCTCCCGTGTGATGCACTTTCACAGGGGCAGTCACAAACAGGATTGCAGCCTCATTGGTAAGCACGCGCGTGCTCACGCACAAGCGAACCCGCACAAATGCGTGAGGGTATCCTCAATGCAGAGGGTGCGTCAAGAGACTTGGTGCACAGGCCTGGCGCTCGAACTCACAGCTTCCATCCTTGGCAGCCTCAAAACCACCCCGCCCTCCGCATATGCACCTGCCCTTGCAGCAGCACACGCTGCAACCCGCAGCCCGCGCCGTCCCGACCCCCACCTGCACCCCGAGTGTCGCCCCCAGCTCCCTGAAGCCCAGCCGCCGCGACAGCGGCTGCGAAAAGTACCCCTCGCCCCACAGCCCCTCCAGCCCCTCCAGCGCGCGCGCCGCCACGTGGTCACACGCGCTTGACAGGTCCAAGTCAAGCTCCCGCCCCGGGCCCCTGCCGCGCAACACGCCCCCGCCGCCGCACTCTGGCGCCGCCGCGTGCGTGTGCGTATGCGTGTGCGGGTGCCCCGCATCGCCGCTGGCGAACCAGTGGGCCAGCCACAGGGCCTCTCCGAGGTCTAGGGGGTCGTCAGACTTGAAGCCCCGCCACCAGTGCGCGACCAGTGCCGCGGCCACGACGATCTGGCCGTCGAGCCGCGGCGCGCCGCCGCGCTCGTCGCCGAGCGCGCGGCCCGCGGCGGCCTCCAGCAGCTGGAAGGTGACCAGGCTGTCGAGGGCGTCGAGCATGCCGCTGCTGGACACGAGGGGGCGGGACAGGTCAATGGTCATCTTCCACGCCAGGCGGCGCGCACCGCCGGGGGCCTGCGCGGGCCGGCGCGCATGAGAGGGGCCCGCACGCGGCCAGTCAGAGGATCACGAGGTGTGCGGTGCCCGTCCAGCTGGGCCGCAAGCAGCCTGTGTTGGTGGACGCCTGCTGACCCGCAAGCCCTTGTGTCAATGCCCGCACCATCATCCCCGAAAGAAAGCAAGTCGGTTGCCGACCCAATAGGTGTGCTGAGTGGTTCAATGTCCCGCAGCGCCAATGAGCACCTTTTTGAAGCCCGCCCACCTCCAGGCACATGAACCTGTCAAACGTGGCATCAGCCAGCTCTAGCGCCCACACCAGGTACCGCCCCTCGTCCGCCGCTGCAGACAGCTGCAGGCCCCACCGTGCCATGTGCCGCCAGGAGGCGCGGGGGCGCGGGGCGAGCAGGGCATGGTGAATTGAGACAGGGCAGGTTTAGTAGGCAAGGCAGGCAGGAGCGGAGCACGAGCACCATGCACAATAACAAAAACTCTGCATACCCGGATTTGGGGCGCAGCAGGAGAGCGCAAAGACTGTAACCGCATGTAATACGTCACGGCCTGGGACGCACTCGCCTGCAGCAGTGCAAAGCACCACTTATTGAGGTAATGGAGGTACTGCCCGTCACAGTCGGGGCCTGGTTGCAAGAAGGGGCATCATGGACAGCACCAGATCTGACAAGTGGCAGCTTGGGTGAGGCGGGCACACGGCAGCAGGCCTGGCGAGGCGGGGCCGGCCAGCCTCATGGCTTCTCCCAGCCCGTAGCCGTCCAGGCGCGGACTACACACGAGTGTTCGCACACGCACACGCATGCGCACGCGCACGCACACGCACACGCACACGCACACGCGCACGCACACGCACACGCACACGCACACGCACACGCACGCACGCACGCACGCACGCACACGTGCTCACACACACATGCACATGCACAGGCGCGGCCCCATTGATCAGGGTGCCACCCAAGAAGACAGAGGCCTAGTAGCATCAAGAACCCCACCGCTCTCGTTGGGCTTGCCAATGCGCAGGCCGCCGCGTGTCGGGTGGTCGTCCGTGGCGTTGCCCAGCCTGCTCGCGCCGTTGCGCGTGAACCCGAGGGTGTTGTGCACCGCAGCTGCCAGGGTCTCCGCCTGCCGAAGGTACCTGGAGCGGGGAAGTTTGAGCGCCGACACATATGTGCCAGGTGTGTGTGTGTGTGTGTTCATATGTGTGCACTTGCATGTGTGTGTCTGTGCATGTGTGTGTGCATGTGCATGTGTGTGCATGTGTATGCGTGGGCGAAGTTGGCCTTGACCTCTTGCCTGAGATATGCGTGAGGCACGGGGCAGTGGATTCTCCCGACCATCATTGTTGGCGCTGCATGCAGGACCCAACAGATGGCCGGCCCCAATTATCCCTGCCCGTCGTGCCAGACCTCGTGCCGCCCGTGCAGTTGTCAGGGCGAATGCTGGTGCGCATCGTAGCTGTCCTCGCAGCACTCCCAGCCATCGGGCACACAGTGCAGCCCCGCGGACTAGCACACCTCACCATCCTCACCTGTTGTCCCCCGTCTCCAGGTAGAGGCTGCAGTAATTGCACACGCCAAATGCGTCCGTCCACCTGTGTCCAAGCGCAGGGTGGCGAGGGATTGGCAGCAGGCGGCACCCGCACATACACCGCCCCGCCGTCATGGAGCCTTTGAAAAGGCACCAGCCAAACCCGTGCGTGCAGGGCTTCCGATTCGGATTCACGCATTGGTTTGTGCATGTGTGTGTGTGTGTGCGTGCGTGCGTGCGTGCGTGCATGCGTGCGTGCGAGTGTGTGTGTTTGTGTGTGTGTGTGTGTGTGTGTGTGTGTGTGTGTGTGTGTGTGTGTGTGCGCGTGCGTGCGTTTGTGTGTGTGGGCGTGTGCGCAAGCATGGTGCGGCAGCTAATGTGAAAGGCATGGCTGTACTCAGTATCAGGCCGCTTGCTGCTTACAGGTAGCGGCCCTTGTGGCTGTGAGCCCTGGAAAAGTGCGCCGGCGCCCACTGCGGCCCCGTCCAAGGCCCGTACGCGCGGTCCATGGCCTCGCGGGCCGCGCCAACTGCTGCACCTTTGAATGTAGGAAAGTTCGGGTAATGACGCAACTGCAGCCTGCACGGCAGATGCAATGAGGCTGCACACACTGCATAACCCCCACATGGCGCCGCGGCGGCGCCGGTCGCGTGGTTTGCACGCCACGCTCGGGCATCTCACCCTCGACTGCGTCCATCTTTCCGATGCTGTAGCGCTTGCTAGGGCCTCGGAAAAGGAGCGCGTTGGGTAGATAGAGACGGGCGTGAGGTAAGCTGACACTGGCACTGAGCCGAACAGAGAGAAGTAGTCGCTTCGACAGCAATTGCATATGATAAGGTTGGCTGGAGATGACCCTGGCCTGGATGATCACAACACAGTGCTCCGAAACAGTTCCGGGAGATATACCTGGGCAGCAAGCCAGGTAAGGGGTCATACATTGAATGTTTTAGTGCTTTTTTCGTACTGTCGCACAGCATGGCGCACAAACAACACAGGTCGCTGTCACTGCAGTGCGCACCCGTCAGGAGACGAAGGGCTTTTGCTGATGTGTATGGCGCGTTCATACAAGCACATACTCGTGGTTATACTGACATCAATACTTTTGTATATGCACATTGCAGTCGCGAGATCACGCTTTGCTGTCACGCGTGCTCCACAGGCCATGATTCTGACGCGGGGGGCGTTGTTAGGGGCGTTGTTGGAATCTATGAAATTGAGTAGATGCAGTCATGGGAGCATGCTGGCTGTGCAGGCTGTGCGACACTTATGCAGCACGAGTGGCAGGTGCAGCAGCAGCAACAGCAGTGGTGCCTCTGCACTGGCCGCCACATCATCGGCCGGCAGCGTCGGTGGCCCCGCGACACCATGGCTCACACGGCTGTCTTCCAGGGCGGTTGTGTGCATGGAGGGCAAGGACTCGGTGCAATTTCTGCAGGTTGGGCGGGGGCCTGCAGACCAGGACAGTTGCTAGGACAGTCCACCAGCACCTGTGTGCTGCAGCGGCGCCTGTATGTGGCAGCAACAACCGTACCAGTCTGATATGATTTTACGTACCACTGACAAGTGTATGCAGGGCCCTGCAAACTGCATGCACGTATGGACACCATTGTGCGCAGGGCTTGGTCACCAACGACATGCGTCCTCTGGCACAACCTGGTGCTGGCCCAGTGTATGCGGCACTAGTGACGCCAAAGGGGAAGCTGCTGCACGACCTCTTCGTGTTCCGCGCTGACGCTGCTGGGCCGTCAGCAGCTGTAGCAGCAGCAACAGCAACCGCCGCAGCGGCTGATGGCAAATCAGCCACATCTTCGGCAGCACCTGAACGGCTGTGGCTGGACGTGGATGCGGCTGGTGCGCCCGCCGTGCTGCGGTGGCTCTCGCGGTACAAGCTGCGGCGCCCAATCACAATCGAGGACGCCAGCGGCGAACTGTCTGTTTGGGCACGCGGCGGCGGTCACGGCAGCAGTTGCGGAAGTGGTTGCGGAGACGTGCCGGAGGCCCTGCCTCAGGGGTGGTGGACCGACCCGCGCCTGCCGGGGCAGCTTGGGCACAGGGGGGTGTTCCCATTGAGCTCGGGGCCGCCAGCAGATGCGGGCGGCGGCGGCTGGCAGGAGGCAGGGGAGGCGGAGCACCGGCTGCTGCGGTATGGGCTGGGGGTCGCTGAAGGCACCGCAGAGCTGCCACCAGGTGCGCCAGGGAGCAGGGTGGTAAGGCTTTGCATTGGGTGTACACAGCCTTGCGTACACATGGCAGACGTCTGCAACGGGAGTGCGCCAATGTTTCTGCGACCCCTTCTGCACACTTGCACCATCTTGACCATGCCTCGTTTCACCTCTGCACACATTACTAGGGTTGAGGGTTTCGGGTGCCGGCTTGAAAGCCTCAATAAACACATCGCACGCACACATGCGCGCTCGCTTGCGCGTGCGCAGAGCGCTTCACCCCCCTGGAGCTAAACCTGGACCTGCTGGGGGGCGTCAGCTACACCAAGGGCTGCTACATCGGACAGGCGAGGCCCCGCCGCTGCAACCGCCGCGTGCCGGCCCTCACCAACACCCTTGGGCAAGGAGGCTGCCGTGCGACGCACCAAGGCACAACTACCTGTGCGGGTTGATGTGGTCGGGCAGTTTATCTATGACCTGGTGTTACGGCAATTATGACATCTCTGCCCCTCCTCACGCCGCGTGTTGCAGGAGCGCAACAGCTACACCCACTTTCGCGGCATCATCCGGCGGCGGCTCATGCCGGTGGTGCTGGCGCAGCCAGGTGCGCCGTGCACGCGTTGAGTCAGGGGCCCATTGTTCCACACAGCATACGGCGCTTCCACTGCCTGGGCCCTGGCGATTTGTCTGCTGAGCCACACCCAGGCGACGAGGAAATCGCGCCAAGCGATGTTTCAAGGCTGCGGGTGCCGTGCTCTCGAGTGCGCAGTGCCTCAAACCACGTCACATGCTGTGGTGCCCTGCAGGTCTGCAGCCGGGCTCTGACGTGGTGCAGGCGGGGGGCGGCTCGGCCGGCGTGCTGCTGGCAACCGAAGGGACACTCGGCCTGGCACACCTCAAGCTGGGTCCCGCCCTCGCGGCGGCGGCGGCGGGCGGCGAGGGGGCCCTGCACTTGGCAGGGGACGCGGGCGCGTGGGTGCGACCGGTGCGGCCGCAGTGGTGGCCGCCAGAGTGGGGCCATGAGGAGGCGGGCGCGGGTGCCGCCCCAAAGGCTTGACGCCACTGTAATCATCGCACATGATTCTCTGCCGAGCCTCCTGGTTCCAGTGCTTGTGTTGATGTTTTCAGCCTCGGTCAGATTTACAGAGGGTGGCTGAGTTGGGAGGGCTGTACATGTGCAGCCCAGCTGCTGGTGCGTGTTCAAACCCGATTCTCGCCAGACAAGAAAAATGCATCACAATTATGCAAGATACTTCATCAAAACAAAGTCGCAGGGGGAGCCAATCAGCTTGCATATCCAGAAAGCCCATCCCTCGCCTGCAACAGCGCCGGCTCTCCCGCCAGCCGCCCTGCGCGTGGCGGGGTCAGCGCCGCCTGGCGGGCGGCGCCCCGCTGGTCCCGAGGAAGAACCGCGTGTTGGGCCAGTCCTGCAGCAGCGGATTCCACCCGCTCAGCGTTTGCGTGCTGCGCGACAGCCCGAGCGCCTGCACAAACTGCGCCGTCGGCATGTGGCGCCAGCTCACGTCGCCGCCGCCGCCGCGCCCGACCCCGCCGCGCGCGGCGGCGGCGTCCGCGGCGCTGAGGCCGTACAGCCGCCCCAGCGCCTCGAAATCTGTCGGAAAGAATATATCCGCAGACCCCCAGGGCACGAGGGGGGTGTCGTAATCCAGGGGCACGCCCGGCGCGGCGCGGCCCGACACGAGGGGCGCGTTGAGGCCGGCCACGCGGACGTCGGGCAGCGCATCGAAGTCGGCGGCGACGAGGGTGTGGCGGGGCCGGGCGGCGTGGAGGGCGTCGAGGAGGGCGAGGG